ATATATATATATATATATATATGGGGAATTGTTAAATACTAAAAGCCAGCGAAATTTGTCTATAAATCAAGACCAGTTTCTATTGTCTCCAATTTTTTGGCCAATTTATTAAATGCAAAACATAACATTTCTATACTTTTTAAAACGAGGAAAATTAACAATTCAGTACACAACTAAAACGAATGTTTCTGTACAATCAACAAAGTTATTATATTGCATGAACACGAGGTAATAATACCAACTATAGTTTTTCCGAAGTCAATTGAAGAACCTATAATTTCAAGGTATGTACCAGGCTCGGTCACTAAGCAGCAACTCGGCATTGAAATATTTGAAAAACTTGTTCCCATATTTAATTAGGCATACCCATAAACAGGTCTGGTCGAACTAAATATGTGGAGATGATAGAAATGGAAAACGAGCACAGTTGTATTGGGTTTCTGGGCCAGTGGCATAACCAGATCTGTATAAAGATCTGTATCGCCATTTTTATCATAGCCGTAGCCGCTGGGCCGCTGCGCTGCTCGCGCCGGCCGGCGCCGGCCGCATGGCGCACGGACGGACCTCGGCATCAGTCAAGATTCCTAAAGGGACAGGTTGCCTGACTTTCTACGTCACTGAGTATGCCGATCGCATCGCGTACTTGATAAATGCATGATACATGTATCGCGGTTTGTCATAATTTGTGTTGAGCTATGAGTCTGTACATGGTAGTCTGTGCTGTACATGTTTTGTGGTTATCCATTTTGATTTTGCTTATTTCCTGTTGTGATTTTTGAGATATTTTTTGTGATAGAGTCTGAAAATGTTTAGTTCCTTTTTTTATGTGATACAAAGTTTTTTTTAAATCTACACTTTTATTTTAAGTTACCAAATATAAAACCATTTATACAGGGTGTGCCATTTAACACTCCCGCTGCCAATATTTCCGAAATTAAGAAATTTATTTTAGTTCCGAAACTGGGGTTATTAGATCCCTCGAATAGCTTCAAATTGCAATTAGAACTGTTAGTTCAAATCTTTCTGTATAGATGGCGTGGCAATATTAAAAAAAAAAATTATCCCTGAAACGTGGAAATGCTGTCCATCTGAAAGATCGTTAAATTTTGAGTAATTTTTGTTCTATAAAGTTTTTCCCTATATTTACTTGTTTTCGAAATATGCCGACTTCAATGTGCAATGTATGATGTATAATAACAGGAAAATCTATTATTTTAAAATATTGTTATAATGGCTTTATTCACACCGCATACTGACTAACAAACAATAAATTATCAAAAAAAAAAGGAATGATCAACTACAGAAAAAAAAATGTATAATGGCAAATCTTATAAGAGGCAGAGACAAACCGTATTTTATCAAATGTTATTAAAAAATGCAGTCATAGGTGGATCATGTCAATAAAATATGCATAACAGATGACATATTAGTTTTCCAATAATTACAGTTTTATCAGCTTGCATCTTTCAATTTAACTATTATAAGATTTACCATTGTACAATTATTTTCTGTAGTTGATCATTTGTTTTTTTTATAATTTATTGTTTGTATGTGGTGTGAATAAAGTCATTATAACAATGTTTTAAAAGAATATTTTGTCTCATTGCATATTAAAGTCGACATGTCTCGAAAACAAGTAAATATTGAGAAAAACTTTATATTACAAAAATTATTAAAAATTTAACGATCTTTCAGATGGACTGCATTTTCACGTACCACGGATCAAAAAATGTTTAGTAACGCCACACTATCTATACAGAAAGATTTGAACTAACAGTTCTAACAACAATTTGAAGTTATTCGAGGGACTCACAGTATCCGGAACTAAAATAAATTTCTTCTTTTCGGAGATATTGGCAGAGGGAGTGTTAAATGGCACACCCTGTATACTATAAAAAAACAATATATTATAAATATAAACAACATTTATAACTAATAAACTAATATTTTCATTTTGAAACCGTTTTGCTGCAAATTTTAAGAAATTTGTTTAGCCCCCCCCAACTTTGCCTTCTGGTTACGCCACTGTTCTGGGCAATAAATCACAGCAGGTGACAAGTGATTCATAAATTTCCCAACAGTGCATTTCAGCAGTGCGGAATTTGATGTGAATCAGGCAATTTTAATTTATTATAGTCACCTATCTATCATTCATATTACAATTGCGAAAGGGAAAAATAAGAGGGATATTTTGTTTACTAATATTATCACAACATGGCATTTTGGAGACCTTTTGAAACGGGACAAAACAAAATTTACCACAAATATAATAAAATTGTTTGAGGACATAAATAATTAAAATATGTTGTTGGCCAAATGAACATATAAAAGAAATTTTCTACACATTATATATAAATTATTTTTTACCTTTCGCAGAAAATTTTTTTAAGGACGCCTATGAAACTCATTAAATTTTATTACCAGTCGTTTTTTTGCATATTCAACTGACTTCGGAAGAACCTATACCTACTTGCTTTGACAGGTTATCACTTTTGCGCGGGATAACTTTTTTTACGTCAATAAAATAACATCGGCAACACGACAATGATAGACACCGTTTCAGGTGTAGATATCATTTTCCGGTAATGATGGTGAAAAAAAAAATTGCTTACAACTCGTGCTATTTAGCCAGAAAATCGGAATTGTATTTTTTCCTAAACAAAAAATTGGAAACATTAATAAAACTCGAGGCCTAAACATTTGAAAAAATCCTTATTAAAATATTTTTATATATTTTTAACTAACGTTCTATTTTTTCCAGTTTTTCTGTGACAAAAACTGTTTTTTTCCGAGAGACAATTTGTCCCCAAATTTTGCAATTACAGTGGGAACCTTCAAGTTAGCGGAATAATTATACATCTCCCCTTTCTTCATACGAATCGACGTTTATAAGGGGCCATCCATAAATTAAGATTTTTAGGAGGGAGAGGATGGGGTTCAATTTTTTCTTACAATTTCATACGTAATGTTTTTAAAATTTTTTTAATCTAATGTATCGATTAGATCTTTGTGCAATATTTTTATTACACCTTAACACAATAAAATACGATGCCTTTGATTTATATAAAAATTATATAATTGTTACACCAAACACAATAAAATACATTAATAAACTGCAAAATCTTCGATTTGTATAAAAATTACGTAAGGGGAGAGGGGTTGCGAAAAATCTTACGATTCCTGACAAGAGAAAGGGAAGGGATAAAAAATCCGTCAAAATAGTCTTACGTAATTTATGGATGTCACCTAACTACTAGTAATTCTTACCTTGTGCAATGGTAGCAGATGCGGCGCATCCGTCTGGAGCTTCAGAAAGCGGCTGCCACTATTGCAAAGCTCCACCGCTCCCATGGTAGTGGCGCCGCTGACACCGGTAGACGACCCGCCAGGCTTACGCCCCACATGCTACCTTCAACAGGAAAGACGGACTCAATAGATGTGCTTAATTTACTTGAGGTGTAAGTTAATACCTAAAATTTACCGAGATGTTAGATAAATGAAATATGTGGTTGTGAAAAAATGGTTGTGCTGGAGTGTGCTAACTTTGTGCTGTTGAAAAGATTTTTATATCCTTCACCTGTTGAGAAAGTTAAAACAAAGTTCTAATTTTGTTTCTATTATGTCCAAAAAAAAAAAAAAAAAAAAAGGAAAACTAAGAGTGAAATTAACCCCCCCCCCCACTATAAAACAAACAATTATGCTGAATTGTGCTACATTAGGTATGTGGTGAAATAACGTTATATCTTTCGCGGTTTTCCAAAAAATGCAGAAAAACCGAGTATACTACTAATAAAAACGACTTTTCAGGACTACATTATGGTGTATCGCCCACTGTTCAACCAGATTCCCAAGTCCGACCACCCTACCGGGGGTATCAGTTCCACGTTGCCCGAGGTTGTAATTGAACAGAAACAGAATGTGCAAACAATAAATTATAAAAAAAAACAAATTATTTATGGTTCCAACAGGACGAAGCGCCCCCCTACAATACTAATGCTGTGCCAAGAATATTTAAATCAGAGGTTTCCGGGAAGATGGTTAGGTACTAACAGAGTTATAAGGTGATCGGTTCGTTCACCAGATTTAATCCCATTGAAGTTATTCTTATGGGGTCATTTAAAAAACACTATATTTTTTAGGACCCGCCTAGCTGTAATGTCGAACTAACGAGAAGACTAACATTGTGTATGTTGAAGGATGTAATTTTTAACATTTATTATAATGTTTTAACTTCAATAACTACATCTACATCTCCATTATTATTCTACATCTCCATTATTATTTTAAATACTTTCTGTTATTTTTTCTGTAGTTGATAATTTTTTTTTAATAATTTATTGTTTGTTAGTTAGTATGTGGTGTGAATAAAGCCATTGTAACAATATTTTGAAAGAATATTTTGTCCCAGTGTGATTTATACAAAATAATAGATTTTCCTGTTACATCATACATTACATATTGAAGTCGACATGTCTCGAAAAAAAAGTAATATTGGGAAAAAGTTTATATTAAAAAAATTACTCAAAATTTAACGATCTTTCAGATGTACCGCATTTCCACATTTCAAGAATCAAAAAATTATTTCCCCCCCGGAAAGTTGATAACCACATACTTTATAACTCCTGAGGAGCTTCCTTTTGACGAGTCTACCACATTTTTCCTCTGCGACTTTTCTCGATTCCTCCACTTTTCCACTCGGAAAAGTCCAAAAACATGGCAATTTCCCGGGGTCTTAAAAAGTCAAGACTACATCTTTTATTTTTAGCTTCAGTTATTGGAAATGTTGCAAATGCCGATTTAAATTTGTCCGACAGAAATTCTTCCGACATTGACGTGTCTACCGGTCGAAACATGCCAAAATAACAGGGTATTGAAAATCAATTACCACATAGGTAATTTTTAGTAAAATTAATTGTAAATAATTAATTCAGTCAAAAAGTATTGTTGTCCGACAAATTTCAAGCCGCGTTTTTTCAGTCCGACAGCTGGAAATCGGAATTTTCACAGGGTATGAAAAATCGATTACCACATGTCGGACAAAAATAACACACGATAGAAAAGTGTTTTTTATAAGCAAAAATTGTAATGTCCGACAAAAATATATCCGCAAATCGTCAGTCCGACAAAAAAAGATGAAAAAAATTTCGTAAAAAATGTGCACATGTATTTATAATTTCTAATAAGGTATTTTCATGTATTAAGCAAAATTCCATATAAATATACAATACAGGGTGTTTCAGAAAGACCTCCCGTAAATACAGGGGGTGAGGACGACAAAAAATAAGAATTTTTTGTCATATGAACTATATGTCTATCTCCTCTTCTCAAAGCTCAAGCTTACTTTGAGAAAAGTCACTTATTTTATAGTGTAATATTGTAAGAGTTTAATTAAAAGCCTTTTTTCTCGAAAATCGTCCACATTAGGAAGTTCTAACAAGAGTACATTATTTTTAGAAAATAAAATTGTACAATAGAAATTGGAGCCCGACTGGTAAAAAACCTAACCTTAAAAAAAATATAACTTAAATTGTAATAAGAATGTAGCATAACTAGCGCTTTCTATGAAATATACAAAAAATAATTAGACTAGCGTATTTGGCACCCTTAAAAACCTCGGACTACCAAATTTCATAAAAATATTTCGCACCATTTGGAAATTTTCATAAAAATGTTATTTAAAAAATTTTATTTTGTCTCTCTGTATCTCGAAAACAAGAGGAGATAGACATAGAGTTCATAAGACAAAAAATTCTCATTTTTTATCATACTATCACCCTCTTTATTTACGGGAGGTCTTTCTGAAACACCCTGTATATATTTTTCGTTTTATTCTTGTAATTGTAAATCTCTATATGCTCAATTTAGCCAAATAAATATCGAGAAAAGAATTAAACGATTTCAAAAAAGTATGTATGGTGTAAAAAAATTATGCACAAAAGTTTTGGGATTTTCTTTTAGAAAAATAGGAAAATTTTTGTAAAGAAAAATAACAAACGCGAATGAAAACTTGAAAGAGAAAAAAGGATTTTTATATCAAGTATAATATTAATTTATTTAGAAATAATGCATTATGCACTAAGATAGTATTAATCGCCTCAAAAATAACTTCATTTGTTTATAACTTTTAAATTTTTAAGCATAAAATAAGCAATATTATAATTATTTATTTGAAACAAATAATAATTTACATAATAATAATTAATAACCATTTATAAATATGAAATTTTTGGAGTGAAAAAATTAAATTTCATCACGATTATTGATTTATTGATTTTTTAATAATTTGCGGACATTAAATCGTCGGAAATTTTTATATCACTATTTTGTACAGTAAATTTAAAAGTGGAAAAAATGAAAATTAGATATGTGGTAATCGATTTTTCATACCCCGTGAAAATTCCGATTTCCAGCTGTCGGACTGAAAAAACGCGGCCTGAAATTTGTCGAACAATACTTTTTGACTGAATTAATTTACAATTAATATTACTAAAAATTACCTATGTGGTAATTGATTTTCAATACCCTGTTATTTTGGCATGTTTCGACCGGTAGACACGTCAAAGTCGGAAGAATTTCTGTCGGACAAATTTAAATCGGCATTTGCAACAAAATTTCCAGTTACTTACGCTAAAAATAAAAAATGTAGTATTGACTTTTCAAGACCCCGGGAAATTGCCATGTTTTTGGACTTTTCCGAGTGGAAAAGCGGAAGAATTGAGAAAAGTCGCAGAGGAAAAATGTGGTAGACTCGCCAAAACGAAGCTCCTCAGGAGTTATAAAGTATGTGGTAATCAACTTTCCAAAGGGGGCATGTACTGTGAACTAAATGTTTTTAAGTTAAGTGAAATTTGCAAATGTAAATTTTTTTGCAATCACCACACATTTAGAATTCTGTGCAACCCTAAAAAATTGTTAATGGTCAACATTACCTATTACTTAATTCAATAATTGTAATGAATATGTTATACAAAGTAGATATACAGTGTAAATAAGTACGAAAAAATTCGGGGGGTGATTCCCTGTGGAAAAATAAGGTGGGTCTTTCATATAACAAAATCTCATTTGAACATCCCCTTTAAAAATACCACCCCTTAAAGAGCCTGCCAAAAAAGTAGTTTCTAATTTTTTTCTAAAACACCAAAAAAGTGATATACCCAAAATTATGTAGACATTTTCTGCTGACGAGAAGGCCCTAGGGCTGTAAGGGGCAGAAAAAGCCACCCCTAAGACTTATTTCTTATGTAACTTTCTTTCTTATTACTATCTTACCATTTCAGTTAGCCTGATTCATTCTAAACAAAAAAGTACTCTTGTAATTTTTTCGTAAAATTAACGATTTCTGAGCAAATAATTCATTTAAAATCAGTTGCAAGGCTTGATTGGCATAGGGTAAAAATATCGAAATGTAATTTTTCTAGTTCACAAAATCACAGAAATAGTTAATTTTAGTTAGTTAACTGAAATATAAATAAAAATATTAGGCAACTGTTTCCACAGAAAATAAAATCTTGTTTCTTAATTTACACATAGATGTTTGTGCGGGAATTAAATGTATAAAATTTTAAGATGATAGTATAAAAATAAACGTAGCAATACACTATAGATGGAATTATACAAAAAACAAATGCCACCTTTTTTACTTAACTTTATGTTCTATATAATTTTTAATAAATTCTGTAAAAATTATATCTATAATTAAAATGACTGTTACAACGTGAAACAAGACGGCACCTAGAGGCCATCAAGAAATCAGGATCAGACAGAATTTTTAATAATTATTTTGACTGGCAGTACTGGCACAAAAGTTTCATGATGAAACATATATCTGGGTCACTATATCATTTTGTAACCCTAAAAAGTGCAATTTAAGGGTTTTATTAAATAACCAAGAATATTTCGTTCATTTCCCAACTGTTGTTGAAAATGGTATCACTTTTTTAAATCAAAATAGATAATAGGACATAGTATGGCAAATTTGCAACGTTTTGATGCTTTATCTTCTGTTGAATTTTTTACACTTACTATGAATGACTGAAAATGTCACTGGAAAAGTTATTTCAAAAACTGTGGTTATAAAAAAATTAATAATAAATATGTTAAAAGAAATTTGTAATAATTATATTACAGACAATTTAAATTATACGCCTAACTTCTTAGTATACAGGATGTTACAAATTCACTTCTCACTACAGGAATCTCGGAAACAGTAAGAGATACAAACTAGCTTAAATGGGGGTAAATTTGTGTAATCAAGGGACCAACATTACGCCTCTAAAAAATCAGGGCTAACATGATTAGTTTTCGAAATATTTAAAAAAAAACGAATTTTGGAAATCCTTTTTTGTTTCATTTCAGCCTTGTTTGTGGTGATACTGAAAAAAGTAGAACACTTTCTCATTGCCACATTTT